TTTTTCTTTTGCCAAGAAGCTGTCACTTTTGTGCCTTTTTGGGGAAAGTGAGTGGGGCAAATTAAACAAAACCTCTCAAACAAGCTATGGTATGCACAAAAGGTGGACAGTCATACACCGGCAGAGGAACAAAACTGTCCCACTCTCAGTCAAAAGGAGGTAGACAAACAAATTCTTCCATCCTGGTGAAGGAAAATTTGAATGTTGGAATTATCTGTCTTATAAAGCTCTGTGAAAACAGTTTATTACCAGCTAAATGCTGTTTTTTACCATGTAAGCATGCTTACAAAGAAAAAACAAAACCTCTCCAATGCTATCTTTATTTATTTTGGTTGCAAAGTGAAATTATGGAGGGCTATCATTAAAAAAAATCTTTTTAATATAATAACCTCATCTGTTTGCTTCCCTGTAGGCATTAAAACAGTTTCTGAAGTTCATGTTAAACCACAGATCCTCAGTAACACAAAGTATTCAAACACATTTCAGGTTAACCTCTTGGCTGTTGTTTCTCATCCATATCCTGTTTTCCTTATATGCTGCCTGTTTTCATTCTTGTATAGACTGTGTAGAAAAACAGGCATATTATCCTATTTAATAGTGAAGATTTATCCCGAGTTGCCCTGTCGTTACCCATGGGGACACCTCCTGCCCACAACTCGCACCCCTCTCAGTCTGTTTAAAAAGTGTCAAACCAAAGTCAAAGAAATGCTGTGAAAGGAGCCGTTTAAAGTTTCAGTTTCTGGACACAAGCTCTTCAGTATGGTGGTGTTTTTTTTGTTTTGTTTTTCCTCCCCAATGTGAGGATCCATTCAAGCAACGGGCGCTTTAATGATCTACACTGCCATCTTCTGGTTAACCAGCATTTTTAGACTTTTATGTGCGCTGCCAGAATTCTGGTTCTTGGTTTCCGGCTTTGCCTGCTATAATTTACGCATCTCATATCTGCCCCCCGATAATTTACGTGTAATTCAAGAAGCACTTCTTAAATTTGTGGGACCAAATTTAACTTGTCTGTTCGTTCTTTATAGTACTAGGTTAAAGAAAAGACTGCTTTTCCTCAATAACTTCAGCCTTTTTACTGCCATAGCGCAAAAAAAGGGAGAAAAAAGAGGAAAAAAGAGATTTAGTGTGCTGGTATGTCCTGCTAACTGAAGAACCAAATGAGTGAAACACACCTATTTGTGGCCTTCTCTGGTGATCAAGTGCCTTAACATTTTACTGATGTTTTTGCTATGTAATTGTAGATTACATTGTTAAACATATTTTTTTTTCTATGAAAGAGTTTTTAATATGTTGTAATTAAAAAAAGCTGCCGTAAGGAAAAAATGAAGCAATTTGGTTATGTACAATTTTTAAGAGCTGTTTTACATCAATTGTTTTAATAAAGTCCTTCTTTGCACTGCATGGACAGCTTGGAAGTTATTTGTGGTATATTGGAGTCATTTTATTAAGCCTTATATGGGGTATAAGGAGGTGTGTGTGTGTGTGTGTGTGTGTGTGTGTGTGTGTGTGTGTGTGTGTGTGTGTGTGTGTGTGTGTGTGTGT